GGAGACGGTAGCCGAGTCGAGTCACGATTCGTGAACGAAATCTCCGAGCAGCGAGTCGAACAAGTCGATTCCTATCCGATCGATATCGTTGTTTGACGAGTCGAGTGTCTGAACATTTGACTTGTAAATTAAAGATCTCTCCAAGTTGAATCGTGAAAATCGATAAATCAACGATATACATGCTTTTCTATTTTTCTCCCTGTTCTATTTTTCGCTACGAGCGAGGATAGAATTGTTATCAGCAATTAATAACGTTGCACGATAATAAGTGAATTATGTAAGAAAGAAATTTGCATTCATGTTGCAAAACACGTTGGTGTCGGCGAGTGGCGCCATCGTCGGTCGGTTAAAAATAAACGTGCTGCCGCGTGAAAAAGCGGCAGCACCTTCAGACAACGGACATGACGTCACTGGCGTACCAAATACTTTCGCAGCCCCGTAACGGAAGTAGTTATTTTTACCACGGTTCTTTTCCCCCGTACGCGAAGATTCACCACAACGCGAATCAATGAAAGACTTCGTTCCTAGCCGCCGCGACGTACCAACGACCATCGTAATAACAATCTTCGCGCTTCTCTACGTCCTCCGTCGGGGGTTGTGCAATTTCTGTCTTTTCCTGCCGGAGCATTTTGTCCATTCAGAGTGGAAACAGAGGCGGAGGACACCGACAATCGAAGCCGAGAGAACTCGAATCACACCGAAAATCGTGTGCCGCATAATAGCACGTTTCACGGCCAGTTTCGACTGGGTCGGCCAACATTCTCCAATCTCCCTGCGGCTTCGATACCTTCGTACGTAAGTCTTTTTTGGGAGATTCCGTTGGAATCATATGCAATCAGTTGTCGCAACAGATTGCCCGTGGCATATGGCAAAAGGGCTCCTCCGAGGAGGAACCGGCGCAAGAAACTCGAGAACGTTTTTAACGCGAGCGTCTCGAGACTGGTCGCGACTCCAAGGTACGTCTTCATCCAATTACGCCTGATGCAACCGGCCACGTCCAATGTAATTGACCACTCGGCGGATACTCGCGAGAAGTGTGTCGATTTAATGTCCCAATGACACGCGTCACATTATTGTGAGCGTGGAACGAGCGTGAGTCACCTCGAATTTGCAACGCGACCAAATCGATACACCTGGACGATAAGAGTTTCGTTTTAATATTATCGCCAAAGTGCGATACAAAGTTCAAGCGTATCTCATGAATTATCCATCAGCCACGTCCATTAACGCTTGACGAATGGAACACCGAGGATGAGGAAGGAAAGTCCGCTTCGAACGAAAAACGCGATCGTGTTGAAATTACGCGCGATCGCGAAAGAAGATGCACGAAACGGAACAATGTATCACACTGTTCTCCTGCGACAGTCAGTCGTTCCAACGCTGACTCACAGAGCTGACTGTGCAGCTGTTGTTTTTCTTTCTTGACGCATCAGAAAGCGCAGACAGCCGCCAAATATCCTTCTACTATGTTCGTGCGAATTTAAATCCGGTGGCACTGCTTCGCGAAATCGTTTCGCCCTGTCGTTGGATTAATTTCCTAGAGTCGATCGAGCTGTTTCCAAGGAAATCTGCGAAAT